AGAGAAAGACCGTGGAGAAAGTGTTGAAATGGGTACACAGTCTTGGACACTTGGAGGAAGTCGGATTTGTTGGAGATTCGGAAGAGGCAATGTTGTCACTGATAGCTGCAATCGTGGAAACTCGAAGGAAGATGAACCGCAAAACACACGATCAAAACAGCAAGCCGTATCAGAAAGGAAGAACGGCAAGAGTGGAAAGGTTTATCCAGACGGTGAGGAACCAAACAGTTTGCTTGGTACGAGCAGCCGAAAGAAAGCTTGGTATAGAGATTCCCGAAGGCCATGCAGTGTGGGCCTGGGGATTGTGCCATGCGTCATGGTTGCCGAACAGGTACCACAGACACACCGCGATAGGGTCAACCCCTTACGAAAGTGTCGTTGGTAGACCTTACCTTGGGAAGATTGCCCCATTCGGAGAGTATGTGTATGCGCTGAAGAAACCAGAGAAGAAAGGAACAGCGAATTGGATTGGAGGAATCTACCTTGGTAAGAACTCTCAGGATATGCACTTGGTAGGAGTTGAAGACGGAATCTTGGCAACAGGATCTGTAAGGCGAATCGCCACTGGATGGAGAAAGGAACCAGTACTGAAGCTGAGTGTAACTCCATGGAACCCCAAGAAGCCAAAAGGAACGTATACCAGACAGCCGTTACCAGCCCCAGCATTGGCAAGTATCGCAGAGGAAGAAGGAACAGCACAGGAACCCGTAGTTCGTGCGGAAGATCGAGGACAATCCCAAGAGGAACAAGTCGAGGAACTGTTAGATCTATTGGACACAAGTGGAGCCTCAAGCGGAGGCAGGGCCTCAAGTGGAGGCAGGGCCTCAAACGGAGGCATGACCAGCACGGGATCTAGTTCTCATTCCCGGAGTTCAAGTTCAATGCAGGACGCACCACCTGGAGAACCAGAAGGACGTGTCAGTGATGATACTATGCTAGAAGACCTCAGGAAGAGAGCTGTAGAAGGAGGACAGGAAGTCGAAGGATCGCCGAAAAAGTCACGAGAAATGCCATCAGCACCATCATCGCCTTCAAGAGGAATCTACCCGCCTTTGTTCGCAGGCAGGGTATCTCAGGAAGATGATCCCTTTCATTGGGATGAACATGAGGATCTCACGGCAGTAGAAGGAGAAGACGTGGAGTATGAAGATCTCATGGAAGAAGAGATGGAAGAAGTTCCAAAGAATGACCAAGGAGAAACACCACCCGAACTAAGTCCAGAGGAACTGGATGCCTTGGATCAGGAAGCAGCCGTGGAGGAACTGAATCGCCTTAGCAAGCTAGGAGTAATCGAGGAATTCATGGAGGCGAATGCAACAGGTGATGAAAAGCGTATGGATTTGCGCGAAGTCTACGACTGGAGGCATCGTGACGGACGTTGGAAAAGGAGGTGCCGCATAGTGGCCAGGGAGTACAGGGCAGGTGCGAGCAGCACAGCTGAGACATTCAGCCCAACGGCAAGCAACGCCGCGTCGCGCCTAGTCTTGTTGTTACACCTGGTGTATAACTGGGTCGTAGTCGTACTTGATATAAAGGACGCGTACCTTCAGGTCCCGCAGCAAGAAGAGGTGCTAATCACAATTAGTGATTGGATGAAGCGAGCCGCGAACCTGAAAGAAGGAATAGTGTGGAGGCTCAAGAGATGCTTACCTGGTCAAAGAAACGCCGCAACAAGGTGGTATGAACATTTGCGGAGTATACTTGAGAAACTGGGATTCGTGTTCTCAGTACATGTACCCGCATTAGCTAGACACACCACAAGGAAGCTGTGTATCTCTATCCATGTAGATGACGAGCTACTAGCAGGAGAAAAGGAGGAAACCATTTGGTTGGTAGAAGAATTGGAGAAGGTATTCAAGGTGGAGAAAGAAGGACCATACCCAGCGAATGGAGTCGGAAGTGGAGAAGAGATGCGATATCTCAAAAGGAAGTATGTCTTCACCCGAGAAGGAATTGTTGTCCAACCGAATGAGAAGTATGTTCGGAAGCTCATTGAGTTGTATGACCTTGGAAAATTAAAGAGTAAGGCCACACCAGAGCATGTGGATCTGGTGAAGGAAGACCGGGCCAAGGAGTTGAGTGCTGAAGAGACAAAACGGTTTAGATCTGGACTCGGATCGATTTTGTACCTTGCACAGGACAGGATTGACATTCAGTATGCTTCAAAGTGTTTGGCATCAAGTATGTCGAAGCCGACGGTGCAGGCACTAAAGTGTCTGAAGCACTTGATTCTGTATTTGAGTGGAACAGCCACAAGGGCTACTCTGTTACCGTATACCGAAATCGGAAGCCGGTTGATCACGAAGTTGAATGGCCATGAAGACGAAGAAATTGCCAAGGACGCAGGACATGTGGTGGAAGCGTATTCGGACAGTGATTGGGCAAGCCTGAAGACCCTGGACAGAGCCCGAAGGAAGAGTACCTCATCAGGAATCATTGTACTGAACGGAGTACAAGTGTTATCATTTTCTAGGACTCAGAAGGCCACATCATCATCAAGCTGTGAAGCAGAGTTGTATGCACTAAGTGGAACTTGTGGAGAAGCAATCCTAGTCGGAAGGCTATTTGAGTTCCTAGTAAACGCGCCTGTACGCGTGGAGATACGGTGCGATTCATCATCTGCACGACAGTGGAGTCAACGACGAGGAGTTGGACGTCTGAAGCATGTGGACGTTAGGCTGTGTCAACTGCAAGATTGGGTGCGAGACAATCTTGTAAAACTTGGTACAGTGCGAACCGCGCTTAATGTAGCGGATCTGAACACCAAGAAGTTGTCATATGCCCGAAGGTCATTTTTACTGTATCACTTGTCTCAAGTAGAGTATGATGAAGAAGGAAACTTGGAGTATACTGGAGAGAAAGAGTATGAAAAGCATGAACAAGAGAAGAAACTGAAGGAGTATGTCGGAAGTGGACAAATCAAGAGTCTCATTAGAGCCATACAGGTATTTCATTTGATGAAGCCGATTACCGCAGTATTGCTCAAGGAGGAAGTATCTGACGCCCAAGTAGAGACCTGTGGAGCCTTGGAAAAAGGTATGAGCGCCATGGACGGAAACTTCACGAAGTTTGAAGTTGGAATGATGGTATGCGTATTTTTGCTCGCAGTGCCGTATGTTATCACGGTATGGACGAAGCTTGGAAGAATTTTGGAAAACCTGCGAGGTATTGGACGTGTGAAGATCAGTACGGGAAGCCGTGCACGTGTATATCACCGTGCTACTTGCTGGCATGCCCAAGGGTCACACAAGAAGCCAGGCCGGTGGGTCTGGAAGGACGTACAAGAAGCCGAGCAAGATGGCTTTAGGGCATGTTGGATTTGTTTCCCAGAGACGAAACCAGAAGGAAGCTCGAGAAGACGCCGAGAGCGCACAGAGCCGCCAACCCCAGACGAAAGCGACTGGGAAGTAATGGAGCTTGACTTTGAAGTAGAGTCAAATGGCGGATACACAAAGAAGTGCTACTGGTGCGGAGTACGAAAGTGTACAAGGGAGAAGGTAAACCACCAGAAATGTTCTTGCACGGAATGCATCAAGACATATGCGATGGAACAATGGAGGAAAAGCTATGACAGAGCAGTAACGGAAGGAACGGGTGATGCCACGGAAAAGGAAGAGACCCACGTAACGGATGAAGTGAAGCATGCATGGAATGCTGGACAAAAGAGTGGCAATGGAAAAGGATCTTTGAAGAGACGTGGAAGAGCAGCGATGGGAACACCATCAATCGTACACACAGATAGTGTGCGTATGCCCATCATAAGTGAGGAAGACTACCGACGTGGTGGAAGAGTCACATCTGGAAGAAACAAGCAGGATGTGGAGATAAGCGATGAGAACTTCGTTCGTGGAATGGAAACCCAGGAAGAACCGGAGAAGAAGAAAGAGCCGGAGATGATCGAGTACCGCGGAAGGATGATTACCGTGGAAGAGATGGGGAACAAGATGCTATCCCCAGAAGCACAGGAATCGTATGAGAAGTATTGCGAACAATGCAATGAGATGTATGACGCGTCAGGAGAACGCGCACAAGGATCGGAAATCCCGATGGACCTGTTTGGGAGTTCGAAGCCAATGGATGTAGATCCAGGTACACCGGACAGCACGGAACAGAGAACGTTGTTCGGAAGTCAGTAAGACCTACATCGTGTACGAGTATGAGGCAGAGAAGTGAGTGTAGGCAAGACTGAAAAAGTTTCACCTCGGAACGCACAGCAGCGAAAGCGCAAAAGAAGGAAGAGCGCTAACGCAGGAAGTTTGTGTGGAATGTTTCACTAGGACGAAGTACTTGTTACTGTACGAGTCAAGACAAGGACGGTCTGACACACCTCCTTAATTGGGGGGCGGTCAAAAGGTGGGTTGCACGGAGTGTTTAACCCAAGGACTTGCAATGGCTAAGCCGATGCAGTCACGGGCGGAGGTATGCCCGACCGATGACCGATCGAAGTACAGCACAAGGACTTCGAGGCAGGGTGTTGAATTCTGTACATAGGAACGCCCCACACCTTTGGTGAGCCCAGGCTACGGTATAGTATTGTATAGCTGTATACTATGTTACCGATGCAGCGCCTTTGGTTCAAGAGTAAAAGCGTGACCGCTCAGGGTTTTACAGTTTAACTGAAAGAGACACACCAGATGCTTTGAGATCTCATCTGGAGACTTGTGCTGACGGCCACAAATCGTGCCCGACATGCCGGTTTGCTGCAGGTGGGACCTTATTGGCCAAAATTGTTTTTCCGTTCAAGTTTATGTTGGTCTGACCAAGATTCGATTTATCATGTGTGTTCCCTCATTGGTCTTAGGCTACCTTGGCCGATTACGCAGACATAGCTCCGCGATTCACAGTACATCCTGGAAACACAGTTGGAAGCGCCGCTCACCGGCCAGCCGCCCCAACACCACAGCTGGCTGATTTACAAGTGCAGCCCGTTCCAGGTTGGTTGCTGGGTTTGTTGCAGGGCCAAGTCGAATACGGCTTTTGGTCGGTGCGAAGTGAAGGCCATGGGTCAGGTGTCAGATTTATTGAATCATGCCAAGGGCAAGAAACACCAGGATGCGCTTCAGACACTGGGCTTGCAGGATCCAGAGGGTCAGGGCGACGGGCAAGTGGCTGAGGATGACAATGGCAACGTCCATGGCATTTGCTCTGGTTTGTCTCTCAAGGTTCCACGGATGGACACTTGGATCTCAGTCCTGAACTCTGTATTATCCCGCGCATCGTTTCTTGCAACGACTGACAAGGCTGCAAATATTGGGTCTGGCTTGCTCTGCCTTGAAGCAGATTCCTCGGCGACTGTGTCGAGGAAAATCTTGCAGTGCCTGCGATTTCCTTTGGACCAGCAGGACATGTGGCATCTGAAAAATGCAGTGGCAGCCTCCATAGCCCTTGACCGTGGAGAGGGCTTCCTCATCGTTCATGCCCGTGTGCTTTCGCGCCGGGGTCTCTACGACACGTTCCTGGGAATCGACGGCGGGGGCGCGGTTGACGCAGACAACCCAGATGCGTCTCTTCAGATCCTCCAGGCACTGAAGAGAGTTATTGCACGGGCCGTGACATCGCGAGGTGATTCTCGAAGGTCCAGCCTGTATGCTGCTGACGACGAGCAGCCAGACCTCGAGGTATTCAAGCACTTCACCTCGAAGGTTTTGTCGATGGTGGCCGACGGAGGCCCCTGCGAGCAACGGGCTTTGTACGAGGCGTCGCCATTAAGCTTGAATCCCCGAACCGCTCTTTCCTGCGGCGTGTCTCATAAGCAGGGACAGATCGCATCGGCTGCGATCAGTGGAAAAGCTTTTTTGGAAGCGCCTGCCCGACACCTTCGACCGATTCTGGCAGAGTTTGCTGACGGGCAAACACTCCTTGGCTTCTTTTCTCGAGAACTCTGAGAAATTCAGTCAGGCATTCATGCGCAAACAATCCGAGAACAAGGCTGCAGCACAAGAAGATGACATTGTTTCCTCGGCAAGTTTCGTCGGCCTGATCAAGTCGCTGTCCTTCGCAGATCACAGGTTCGACAGTCGGAAGAGACCACTGTTTCGTCTCTTCAAACTGTTTATCACAGTGCTCGACCTCTTGGAGGACATAGCAAGTCAAGGCGGGCAATGGGACCGTGAGGACCGCAACATTGCAGTCAATCTCCTCACCCAGATCGGGGGAGACACAGGATTCTGCACCTGTGTCTCCGCAGCAGTCATCGCAGACACCATGCTTTTGGGGTGGCCGATGCTGAAGGTTTGCGACCAGGACGCATCAGATTTTAGCTTGGCCGGACCGATGGCGGCTAAGACCTTGGCCACCCTGAAACATTTTCTCTACGACGGAGCAATCTGGCTGCCACAGGCCAAAGACACGTTGACCCATGCGGTATTATCATCCATCCGCGATCGAGCTGTTTTTGTTGGACGCGGTGGGAGGGATTGCCGGCAAATCAGCGTTCGCTGGCCTGCCCCAGACTCGCAGGCTCGATCACAGCCAATCAAGGTCGCCAGAGAGCTGCTTGGCTGTTGCTTCTAGTTTGGACACTACAATAATATTCAGCAGTGCGGTTTGCCTGTGCACGTGTTTTTCTTGGGTCGGCTCTTGATGCGGTTGGTTTCGACGACCAAGGTTTTATGCCATCTTTGAGGCCTTCTTCAAGTCCCACTTCCCAGGGTACGAGGCCAGTTGATTTTGCTAAAGACACCTCACGGACAGTACTCAATAATTTCTCGTTTCGATGGCAGGAAGCAAACCTTCTGGGAGCTTTCAACTTGACTGTGGAGATGTCCCTGTCTGACCGCCAGCGACTATTTCTTGCGCTTTGCGAACGGCTGGGCTTGAATGGGTCTGCAGCATGGCAATCAATGGTTGGGAGCGGTCCAACGACAGGCTTGCTGCAGCAGGCTCGGTACTGGAGTTCTGATGCAGGACTTCTGGTTGCTGGGCAGGAGGACCAGTCCAAGTTGGTGTGTCATTTGCCACAAAGCCCACATCAGAGAGCATGGCTACGCACTTGGCAGGGTGCAAGGAAGAATGCCTCCCACGCTGCAGCCTTGAAGGTCATTGAATTTTACTTATCTTCCTTGGCCGGGACCGGCACTGTAGAGCGGTCTGTGGGGCAGCTGGGCTCTCTTTTGTCGAGGCGGGCTGGGCTTCACGAACGCACCGTCGAAGCGATGATGAAGATGCTGCAGCAGGACGAGAAAGGGCGCCGAACAACAAGGTTGGACCCTAAGCAGCTGCTCACAAAAGAGGGGCCACGTAGGACGGCCGGACAGGCAATCGTGCTGCATCCTGCGAGTGCTTACCTTCTCCGGGTTCAGAAGCGATATGCTTTATGGTTCGGAGAACGAGCTGCTGCAGCATGGTCTTTGGAAGTCCCAACTTTACAGGAGCTTGCGGTACAGCAGGCCAAGGCAAAGAGACCTAGGCTGTACTGCCCCAGCCCGCAGCATGCGAATTCCGAGAAGGCGCAACTTGAGGCGCATGCTGCTTCTTGCATGACTGCAATTGCGGCCGTCAAGACGGATGTGGGCCCAGACACCATGACAGTTCTGGGCAAGCCTCTGGGCATAGTTCCTTCTGGGGCCTCACACGGCGACCTCATGTCAAGCATGGCAGAAGAAGCTTGGGAGATGCGCAAGAGGCGCAAGACGGCGCAGTCGCAAAGGTCTGACGGAATCGAGCCCCAAGCACTTGAGTTCTATGGCCAACACCCTTCATCAGGTGCCGCGTCATCACAATCTTTGCCAAGCACGCCTTGTGGTATGCGGGCATTGCTGGCTTCTCAGTCTGGCTCAGCTCAAGATCCAGACGCTAATGATGGCCTTGACTGGAGCAAAGGCGTGAAAGCAGTAGCCAAGCAGGCAGAGGTCGCCGAGAAGATGGCCCAGGCACAGATACTTGCCGTTCCTGGGCAACCGGCTGCTTTTGTAGACTCCAAGGGAGGTCGCATGCTGCCGAAGCCAGACACCAAAGCTCAGCCAGAGAAGGTGCCTCAGATGCCATTCAGGCCAGTGGTCATCATCCGCAAGGGTGCCGAGGAGGCGAGAACGTGGCTTCCGAAGCCCTTCAACATCGGGGCTTTTCCTGGGTCGTGTGATGTCGTGCTGGTCCCATCTGTGACATCTAGCTCTGCCGAGGCGCTGCTTGCTCGCCTGGAGGGTGCCCGATTGATAGACGTGGACCACCGTTGCGTCCAGTACAGAGGCAGCAGCAAGCAGCACCACCTTTTTTATGTCCAGGATTGCTTCGCAAGAGCATACCCAAAACACACAGAGGTGCTGCTTCAGTGCTCAATTCGGAGCCCTATGATGAGGACAGGTGGAGTCAAGGTGCCGCGGCTCACGGTTCAGAGAAGTGCGCTGCCAGAAGAAATGAAATGGCCAGACAGATCCTTCCAGCTGGTGCGTTCACTTGCAGACGGTGGCCAGAGGATGCTGGATCTTGAGGGTTTGCTGCAGATCTGTGGCCGATGTTACGGGCCAGTGCCAAGCGCTGCATCGGGCAGCAGATGACGATTGGGAAAAAACATGATTGGTCTGGGTGCAAATGGTGAGCAATAACCTTCTCCAGACTTGATTCACATAAAATCGTCTGTACATAGTGGAGCAAGACCCAACTCACAGTGTTTGAGCAGAACCTTCTCAGGATCCATGTAACCCCGTGCCTCGCTGGTCGGGGCCCTCCCAAACTTGTGTGTGTGGAGATCATCGCCAATTCCGATATTGTGTGAAACACATTCGCTTCCTCGTCAGGAAGTGCGTAGAAACTGCAGAGAACCTGCCCTGCTCTGTCCCCAAAGCTTTTTCGAACTCCTGTGGGATACACTCCAAGCCCAAACACTTCTGCAACCCGAACAGACCTGAGCCTGAACCCGAAGTCCAAACAGGTTGAGGGCATCCAGGTTCGGATCAGTTGCAACTGATTGGCTTCAGGTTCCTTTGTATTCTCGGGGTAAGGATTCAATTGCACAGGCTCTGGATTGCAAGATTTCCGGCTTGGCTTAGAATACAGCTTTAGCACATCAGGATTAAACAAGTACTACCTAGTCCCTTTGTTACCGGGCCAGATTGGTGAAATCTCCCGTTTCGGTGCCTGGAAGTTCAAAGATATGCCTCGTGTTTGCCATCAGGTGGCTCCGTTCGTGGTGTTGGCCATCTCCGCGATGCTGGACAGAGGTCCGCCCACCCTTGTGACTGCTTGTGTTCAGCAACTTTCTTCAATTCGTGCAGCAGGCCTAGTAATATCAACGCAGTGGTGTCCATGCTGGGAGATTTTTGATGCCTTGCTGGAACTCGAGGAGCAAGCTTTGTCCTGTGTAGAGACTTCGTGCGCAGTGTATGATGAGGGTGTCACAGTGACTTCCGCCACATGGCGTCCTGATTCTTCCATGATGTATACAAGCAAGACACTGGTATCCGGTGCGTAGTGTCGTTCCAGGCCCAGGTGTTGAGCTGGCAGGAAACTGGTAACTTATACTCTGCAAACCAAAGTTTTGTAATTTGTCGCCATGGTCCGTGCAACCAACGATGATGCTGGAGTGATCAGGGCGCCCAGCTCATATGGGCTGTTTTGCCAGGAAGCCTCGCAGGTTGGTGCGAGTACCAACTCGACTAGGAGGCTACGCTGCAAGACAGTATGCAAAGACAAACAGTGGCTTTTACACAAATGGTGCTTGTACAGATTTCAGCAGGGTTTTCTGTCGGTTTTGCGCCAGGGGATTTCTGTTTTCCGTAGGGCCTTCTGACTATTACTGGGTGACAGGAGCCAGCTGTATCAGTTTCCTGCCTGAAACATCCTAGGCAAGCTGATGACTCTCTCAGAGACCATTACAAGAAGGAGGCGAAGGAGTGTGTGAGACGCAACGAACGAGAGCGCAGCAATGTCAGGTCAAATAGATGCAAGGAGCAGCCAGGGGCCGCGGTGAAGTTGTCTGCAGAGGGGAATGAGCACTGTGATGTTGATGCAAATGCTGATCATGATCGACCTGAATCTGAAGTGTTTCGGGTTTTTCAGTTCGGGGCATTGCAGTTCACAATGCAAGACTACCTTGGCAGTGGTGGCAATGGTGTGGTGTCGAGAGTTCTGTGTGAGCAGACTGGTGAATCCCTAGCCATCAAAGTCCAGAAGAAGCAGCCGTGTGAGGGCCATGAAGTGTACATTCTGTCAGAGGAGTACAAATTCTTGGCTGCTCTACGTCACCCTCACATCATCTCCGTTTACACTTTGTTGACCCAGCCTTCTCCCGCCATATTGCTAGAGCTTGGGGAACAAGACCTTCTTGGTTGGCTCGCAGACCACCCGCTTGAGCTAGAACGAGCAAAGACAAGCAGCTCGGTAATGGAAGCAAGGTCGAAGATGACTGTGCAGCTCATAGCTGCGATGCATTACATGGCCTCCAAGGGCATACTTCACGGGGATTTGAAGCCGAGAAATGCCATCGTGATTCAAAGCAACCCATTGTGCCCGAAAGTGAAGTGGACAGACTTCGGTTGTGCACGGGAGATCACAGATGGCCAAACGGTGACTGTGCAAGCGAACTCTGTGTATACCATGAACTACAGACCTCTGGAGCTCCTGGTTGCAGGTGCTGACAAGGCTCGCAACAGAATTTAAGATGCTTGCCCAAATCTGTTTCAACTCAGTTAAGCCCCAGCTTGGCCCACGTTCGGCGGGAATGTGTGTCGTCCCTGGAAGGTCAGAATTGGTTGGAATGCAGGTGAAAGCGGCCCATGCCGAAATCTTGTCTGAGGCTAAAGATAGGATGGCACGGCGCCTTCAGGGCAGAGCTGACCTGTCCAAGATGATTGCAAGCTGCCTGCAGCCCAGTGACCACCGAGTTTCGCTTGCAGAGCTGGCCAAGTACTTCATAGGATGAGCACAATGCTTTAGCGTATGGCAGTTCGCAAAATGTTTGCTTGGGTTAGGGTTTGCACACACGCACACACGCATGTGCACACGCGCACACACACACAGACAGAGACACACACACACACACACACACACACACGCACACACACACACACACACACACACACACACACACACACACACACACACACACACACCTGCCCCAGGCAATGCTACTCAAATAAATCAAACCGTGGTTGTGTGTTGTTGAAACTTGCTCAGCAGCTAACTAATTGTCAACGTTGGGGCCGGCCATGAAAAGGGTCGCAGTTCAGAAAATTCCCGTGTAGCCCTGGGAGTCAAGGGCTGTTATAGCCCTAGGAATGGGCTGTGTAACACTAGTGTTCAATGGGCTGTATAGCCCTAGGAGTTGCGGGCTGTGTAGCCCGTCTAGGTCTTAGGTGTGTAGCTCTAGGAATGGGCTGTAAAGCCCTAGCCTTCATTTGGGCTGTATAGTCCTAGGAATCACGGGCTGTGTAATCCTAGGCACGGACTGTCTAGCCCGGTCCTTTGCTTTGGCTCTGAAGTTGGCCGTGTGTTGCCCCATAGAACCATCTAGTAGCTGATTCCCTCGGGGCTGATGAACGTTGTAATGGTATGTGGATGTTGCAAGTGCTGCTTTTCCTGGCCCCTATTGCATTGTGCTTCCGAACTGCAAGATGCGCAGTGTGCCTGGTGTTTGCTCTGTCGCTCTGATTCAGGCCAGCGGCAGATGATTGTTGTCCGAAGGCCCGGCAGCCCAGTGTTCGCGCAGATTTGCAGGATCCAGATCAAAACGCTGTTGCAGGTGGACACGCCGCTGCGGAATCTTCCTGCGACGAGTCGGTCACGGAGGCCGCTGGCGATCTATGTTTCGCACAGCCAGGCTGTAACATGTGGTGCCACGAAGTTGAACTGCTGCACACATCATTGCCGTTAGCCAACACAAGTCAGTTTGTCGGCATGTGTCGATCAGAAGCGAAGACCCCCGAGATGTTCGGTTCTGGCCTACCACTGTAACTCTTGAGATTTGGAAATTAGGGGAAGCCGGCTGAGGAGTTGACAAACGTTTGTCAGAATCTTTCGTGGATTTCACACGTATGATCCAGATCAAAACGCTGTTGCAGGTGGACACGCCGCTGTGGAATCTTCCTGCGACGAGTCGGTCACGGAGGCCCCTGGCGATCTATGTTTCCCACAGCCAGGCTGTAACATGTGGTGCCACGAAGTTGAACAGCTGCACACATCATTGCCGTTAGCCAAAACAAGACAGTTTGTCGGCATGTGTCGATCAGAAGCGAAGACCCCCGAGATTTTCGGCTCTGGCCTGCCACTGTAACTCTTGAGATTTGGAAATTGGGGGAAGCCGGCTGAGGAGTTGACAAACGTTTGTCAACTCCTCAGTTTTAGGCTGTGAGAATCTTTCGTGGATTTCACACGTAACTCCTCAGTCCAAAACTCTTCAGTGATACTTCCTATCCATGAAACATTCGGAAACAGGCCGGTTGAGGAGTTGACAAACGTTTGTCAACTCCTCAGTTGGGGTTGCTCATTCGTGAAATCTGAGGAGTTAGAGTCTAGGGTCGCGACCATGGGGGGCAAGCGCAGCACGCCTGCGCCCAGCAAGGCTGTGAATGCCAAGAAGCTGAAGGGTACTCCAGTTTCGTCGATGGCATCAGAGCTTGAGAACCACCCATGCGTCTTGTTCGTGGCAGAACCCTAAGGCTCCATGTACCCATATAGTATATACTTAGGCCTAAAAGTACCCATATAGGGACCCCTTTAAGGCTTAAGTATCTGCTATAAAGGTACATGGAGCCTTTGGGGAAGCTGCCCGAGCTCTCACTGCAGAGTTCAAGGACTGTGTATCGTTGGGCGCACGGGTGCTGATGCATTGCTGCAGACTTTGTTTAAGGGCAAGATTGAATGTTGAAGTGTGTATCCATGCATCCCCAGGATTTGCGTGATGTGGATCCTGTTGACACCGATGGCGTGTCTGCTTATGATGCGAGTGAATACAAACGGTGGATGAAGAAATCCGGCGCCTAGGAGTGCAACGTTTGTTTGTCGGCCTTCGACCTGAGCCGCTTCACTCACATGAGCATTCCGCCTGCTCTAGGTGGGCACCCTGAACGATGTGAACTGCAACATCATTTGTTTAGCATAGAACACAACCAAACTTGTGCTGATTGTGGCCTTCTCACTGTCATGTGCCAGGTGATGTGAGGACCCTTGCCGTCAGCAAGTTTTGGGCCGCTGATGATGAGAAGCCTTGCTGGAAGCCTCACGGAGCCATTGAACCGATCTCAGTGCGTGCCCACTCAAGCAACCTTCCCGATCTCGACAGCTTGATTCCTTTGAACCGGGACCCTGACCGCCTGGCGTTTGTGTATGCTTGGGTGAAAGCCAAAGAGGCATTTCAAGGTGGTGATACATCCTATGAAAAGACTTTAAAGAGCTTTGCCACCCGTGCGCGGTCCATCCGTGCCCTTCGTCTTATGGGTCTAAGCTACCGTGCATAGCAGCATTTTAGTAGAAAGCACAGTCGTGACATCTTTACCCATGGTGAGACATGAGGTGAAATTTCTTCATGTGGCTGATGAAGAGTCAGCCGAGAAGAAGAAATGGGAATTGGCCCAAGACGTGAGGGATGACTGTGAAGCCCTAGTTCTCCAAGGGTGGAGGCAAATCAAGGCGGTCGGCCTTCTTCCTGCACTGTTGAAGTCTGTGGCCAAGTCTGACGCGGCCGAGTACATCGAGAAGTGGCCACCCGACTCCCCCAAGTAAATCTCGTGTGTACTCCGATGTGTGTCCAGTCGTTTCAATCAAATCCCAGTGATTGTGTCTGATCCAAGGCTCGGGAGTCGTGTGAATCTGAAGGCGGCCAAAATCAAATCAATGCTCAAAACCTATGATCGCTTTCAAGATACTCCTGGGTGTGAGCAGCTCATCATCAAGCTTGACGATGCCTACTCCAGCAACCATGCGTTCGCTCACATGCTGGCCTTTGACCTTCTCACAGGAAAGACAGCTTTGCCCAAGGTTCCGTCGCAGCAGCGATCGCTGCTGTTATGGACGTTGGAGAACCTCAGATACAATCTGTGAGCTGCGTGATGTTCTCACACGATACATAGCAGGTCAATGTGAATGCAGCATTGCATGCGGCATTACAGCAAACTCTGCTTGTGTTGCACATGCAGCGACACAGTCGTGTGCACCTGGGTGCCAAATGCACGTGTGTGTTTGTGTGTGTGTGTGTGCACGTGCATCATCTTTGTCCATCTTCACATGTCGACGAAATTTACACACTCAGGATCATCGTCGCAGACATGCTGGAGCAGAGGTGTGCTCTGAAGCCTAACAAGGATGTCATGACAATGATGATCTACCGCGCCCTCTTGAAGCGCCGCCTGTGCACTCTGGTGGCGAGCAAGTTCAAGGGGCCCGATGGTGGGGATGCGACCAAGTGCCAGACGGACATGTCGCCGGCCACAGTGTTGAGCACGGTCTTTGCCTCCGTAGGCAGCTTCCGTTCCTCGGGCCTTGCCGACCAAAACTATGTGTCTCTGCCTTGGTTGGCTGCCTTGCCCTCCTACACCTCGGAGGCTTTGCTATTCGGTGCCAAGCTTCTGCGCGGCCATGCTGTTTTCAACGAGTTGCTCGAGAAAGCCGTCACCGCGGACCCGTTGATACCGGCGGAAACATTCCTGCTGTCAGACAAGTGGAAGGCCGATCTGTTCGACTATGCAGGTCTGCTTGAGCAGAAGAAGGCTGCGGAGCGGCCCCCTGTTCAGGAGGCAGAGCCAGCCGTTGCTGTGGAGGCTCCCCCCACTGAGCCCGCTGCGACGGAGAGCATTGCTGAGATCATGCCAGATGTTTCGGTGGATGTGGAGGTGGAGCCGGCTGCTCTTCCTGCATCGGTCGATCGCAATGATCGCAAGGCCTGCTTCGAGCTGCTGGTGGTGCCTGAGAGCATCATGACGACGCTCAAGGAGCATGATGACCACTACTTCAATGAGGTGAAGGATTGGGCCCGGATTCGCGTGCAGACCTTCTTGGAGTTCGAAATCAAGGAAGAGAAACCGGCAGCTCGCCGGGCGCAGGTCACCCGCTTGTACGAGAAGCATGGAGCCATGCCGATGTTCATCATCTATGACAGCAAAGCCAGGCTGAGGGAGATGAAGGACGACTTGCTGGGGTCTCCTTGGAAGCGGCCTGTCCCGATTGCGCAAGCAGACTTCAAGGCCTGGGTCACCTCCTTCTTCATGGATGTGAAAGCGCACATTAACTGCACTAATGCAGACAAAGACTTGCAAGCTAAGCCACAAACCCTTTTCAATTTCAATATACCTGCAATGTGTTTCGGGAAGCAGTGCCGAGGAAGGAGAAGTTGTCTCCCCAGATGCGGGAGAAAGACTTGTTTGTCTTTGCCGACGGCAGGTCGCCGGCCAACTACGAAGTGATCTACAAGCTGCTGCAGACCACCCTCAAGGACGTGTCAATGCTGCCGAAGAGGCGCTTCACCGTCATCAGACGGTCATACACGAATTCCGAATTCAGCGGTGGATACGCCACCCCCCGTCGAAGGACCGGATTGACGCCGCAAGCCCCAGATCCCTTGGAGAACCTCTTTCTGGTTATGCCCAAGGCCTACGACCTCCCCTTCAGACAGGTGTCTACATGCCCATCGGTCATCAGCGACAACTTCCACAGGGGCTGGCAGGGGTTGGATCTGAAATCCGAGTGGGAGCAAAACTTCACCATGGTGACCCCTGGCACGTACGCGATGCTGGGCCAGAAGTCTCACACCGAGACGGATTTGGAGACAAAGACGGAGCAGTCGCGAAGTTTGAAGGACAACGATGACGATGATGATGATGAGAGCGACGTGCCGGAGAACACTCCGGAACAGAACCTGGAGCAGATCCAGAAGCAGTACTTGCAGCCTTGGGACAATGCTGAAGTGCATCAGCAACTTCTTTGCGAGCTGTACATGCCCGCCAGTGGCAAAGCTCATGTGGTGAGCTTGGAAGCATCCACGAGCTTGGCGGTTGCTTGCGCCCGCAAGCGTTGGCACACCACGATGTATGTTCAGAATGAGAAACATCGCCAGCTCCTGTCGGAGATCGTCACCTTGAAGATAATGTACGAAATCATGTCCGGAAGGGCGGACGGATTTGTCATGCGGCAGCGTATCTTGTCAAAGCAAGCATCCCTCAGCGGCAGCGATGCCGGCCGCCCACCTTTGCCGCCGCCAACCCCGGCCCCTTCATCGGCAACCGCTGGCAGCATGGGATACAGTCCAGGTGAGAAGAGTGTTCTTGAGGATCTCTGGGGTGGTGAAGACGTGTTGTCCGATGAAGCGGGCCAGGATGAGGAAATCGGTGGGTAGAACTGTAGCAGGAAGCAGGGCGGTTTTGCCAAGAGCCCTCCGGATCTTTTTGCCAGTGCCATGTCATTTTCAGTGGCACCTTGCTGCCCCTTCCGGCCCAGCGGGGCATGCTGAAATAATGAATAAGTGCTGCGATGAAGATGTCTCTGGAAAACAACCTAAATCTCCAAGCTCCACAGACGGGCCGGCTGGGGTTTTTAATTGTGATTCTCCTGAGCAGCACCCATAGCGACAGCAGGTCGCATTGAAACTTTCACCAACTGCTAGTTGGAGCTCGAAGCCAGTCTGTGTTGCTGACTAGACCAGTGTTTTGCATTGACAGATGTACATTCACACATGTGTTGGTTCCCTGTCTCTTTCTCACCTGTCTGTCTCTGTCTCACTCACACCTTCAGGCTCTCTCACTGAATCTCACTCACTCACTCACTCACTCACCCACTCACTCTCTCTCTCTCTCTCTCTCTCTCTCTCTCTCTCTCTCTCTCTCTCTCTCTCTCTCTCTCTCTCTCTCTCTCTCTCTCTCTCTCTCTCTCTCTCTCTCTCTCTCTCTCTCTCTCTCTCTCTCTCTCTCTCTCTCTCTCTCTCTCTCTCTCTCTCTCTCTCTCTCTGCCACCCAAGGCCTGGAACTGCAAAACTTCGGTCCGTGCTGTCGTCCAGGTTTTAAAACCTTGGAGCTGTCAGTTCTATTTAGAGCGATGAAAGCCATCTGTGCAGGAGTGGATCCATGGCCGCCGACCGCTGCAGGCCACAGGATCGTCTGAATACTGTGACAGCATGTGCATGTCAACTGTCAAGCTGACACACGCGTGTAGTGCAGAATTTGATGAGGGAGGAATCCTTAGGGAGTGTCCAGTCTGGAACTTCATGGTAATAAAGGGTCATCATCTCCAACACGACCAGTCTGTGCTAGATGCCCAAAAAATGCGACTACGTCCGACATTAGTTCAGAAACCCCGAATAAGGGGGTACAGGCCTTCATAAATATCATTAACTTTACATGAGATCAAGGCAATAATACTACCACCCAGGTTTGACATATCCGATCACTGGTTAATGTTTTCCAGAGTGGAGTGAACGGCGTGATCATGTGTTTGACACTGGCTACTAATTTTAAACTTGGACACTCTCCAAGCTGTTGTGTGGAACTTGGGGAAAACTGCTTGCTATTCTCGTGAGGCTGAAGATTGCTGACCCCTATTATGACAACTACAGTCGCCACCCGCCCTTGATTGATTCCCCACTCTCGCTGCAGGTGGCTTCACGCTCTGGTGTTACAAGTGTTCAAGCTCCACATAATTGGCGGGGAGCCCAAGGCGAGTCTTTCCGTGTTAAGTCTGTGTGAGCAACTGCTGCGGTGTATGTCTTGGCAATGACAACTGCCCGGCAATGCTGGCCTGAATAGCATTACATAATACAACAGACTTTGATCCAGACATGCTACCTGTTGCCGTTTGGCTTCCTGTGCTTGCAAAATAGGGTGCTTGTGAGTTTTGCCTTCCCAGCTCACCCATGGCAAAGTCGGCTGGTCCGAGGACTAAGAAACAGGGTGGAACGCTCAAGAAGCGGCCAGCCGCCTCCGGGAAATCGATGCATCCGATCCCCAGCATGGCCAAGACCAAGCTTGCAAGGGTGTTTACCCTGTTCGATCAACAGCAGTTCATGCACGACCTGACCAACAAGCTTAAGGTGGAACCCATGCAAGGCTGCCGAGTACCATGGGCGAGCATGTACGACGGGAGCAATATGCCTGGGGAGGTCATGCAGTGTATGAAGCAAGTGCTACGTGTGCAGCCGGTGCAGTTGTTCGGCTGCCTGCCAGCATTCGTAGTGCGTCTTGCACAAAGTAGCATGTCTTGACAGGCTTTGGCTGGTCTCAAGTTCATAGCCCAGGTGCCGAGATTCTGCGTTACAAGGCCTACTACAATAACATGCGCAATTTTCGCATGAACCACTTGTTCGAGGACTTCCGAAGTCCTTGATGTGCAACGATCATACGGTAAGAAGGCCGCAGTGGTTCTGCCAGGACGGCAAAGCCTTGAAAGAGAGCAAGGCATTCTGTTGGATGCATGGGGCCTCATGCAACGTTCCGCCCACCACGTCGCATTCTTCATAGGCGGCTTCATGTGCCGTTCGAACTCGATGATGAATCTTAGTGAGCATTAAACCAATGTTTCGTGTGATCAGAGACTCTCGATCATGCCTGAGTCACTTGAGGAACAATGCTCGTTTCAAGGAAGATCCGCTCAGCAAGACCGCCACCTCTCGCCTGACATTCGATGCCTTGGTAGAGGTGCTCAAGGTCCATATGCCTTCTCATTTCGTCTTGGAGAATGTCAAAGGCTCGATGTCATGGCCTTAATGGGTACACGTGGGTGCCAAGCTTGGAAATCCATTCCTTAGCTGTGGGCATCTTGCCGATGATGTTGTGTGCCTAGGGAGTTACTTGCTCAGGATGAATCGATGCAAGGCTGCAGATCCACCAACGGAAGCTGCAGATCCACCAACGGAAGCATCTCCCATGGACAAGTATGACACCCCTTTGGAATACTACCTCGATACCCTGAAGCAGCTGGAGTACAGCATCGCTTTCGTGGAATTGAAAACCTGTGCTCCGCTTCCAGAGGCGAGGGAACGAATCTGGATTCTGGGCTCCAGAACCTCCTACACCGCGGAGCAATGGAAAGCAGACGTCTTGTTGACGGAGCCGGCTGATGATACTCCCTGTCACCACTTGAAGGCCTACTTCGATGCTTTCGGCAAGACCGCTGATGCCGTCAGGGATGACGACGTCACAGAGTGGGGCGTTAATGCGAAGTATGCATCGGCATATGCCAAAGCCATGGAAGAGATGGTGAGTGCAGGGAGGTTGTCTGCGACCAGCAACATCTCGGACGTCAAGGCTCGCCCCTCGAGTGAGGCTGCCTGGCAAGGCCTCACTGAGTGGGGAAAGGCCACTCTTGATGTGTACAGTGCTCTGGCAAAGGAACAGGAGGCCATGATGTCGGGGGGAACAGAGTCTTCCAACTTCTACCCCGTGTTTGACCTCTCTCAGGCTTGTTCTCGGAACAAGCTGACTGTAGATGGAACTTGGACTACGGTGTGCACAAGCACGGTTTTGACTTCCTTGAAGGACGCCAAGATCATGAGTGGTGAGGGTATTTTGGCGGTTCTGGGCCAGAACCCCTCAACCAAAACGTGCCATTTTTTGAGCGATAAAGAGCTCACTGATCTAGGAGGAAATGCCCAGAGGACCGCCGATTGAAAAAAATCAAGCGGGATTGAAAATTCTCAGCGTTTTGATTGTGTCGATCAAATTCAATAGAAAACGATCTTTTTCAATAGAAATTTAAATCCTCAAAATCAATAGAACTGCGACATAAAAATCAATAGAAACCTCCACATCAAAATCAATAGAAAATCTCCATAAAATCAATAGAAATTTTCCATAAAATCAATAGAAATTTTCCATAAAATCAATAGAAAATTTCCATAAAATCAATAGAAATGTTATCTCAAATCAAACGAGAAACACTTCTGACATCAATAGATTTCAGCGCTATCTCTGCCTCCACCACTATATATAATACCTCTACCTCGACCTCAACCTGTACCTTTATCCGTATCTCTTCCTGTATATCTCTACCTTTACATCTTTACTTCTTTATCTCTCTATCGCTGTATATCTCTCTATCGCTCTACCGCTCTATCGCTCGATCTACCGCTCTACCGCTCGGTCGCTCTATCTCTCTATCTCTTATATCTCCCTGTCCCTCTATCTCTCCATCTCTACCTGTATTTTTATTTCTATATATCTATCTCTTTCTTTTTTCTCTTTCTCTATCTCTCACTTTCTCTTCCCCACCCTTTCCAAGAAGGCTTTTCTTTTTTCTCTTTCTCTATCTCTCACTTCCTCTTCCCCACCCTTTCCCAGAAGGCTTCCAGCCTAACACTTCTTTTTCACAGCAGCGGCAGGGAATCTTGGGTGAAGCTTCTTTTGAGCTCTCCTTCGAAACTTGGCCTTGTAAAGGCCTCGGAGCCTAACATTCAAAAACGGTTCCTGGCTACTTGGACTTGGACGTGGAATTGGACTCAGGCATTCCAGCCTAACACTTCTTTTCCACAGCTGCGGCAGGGAATCTTGGGTGAAGATTCTCTTGAGATCTTCCTCAAAACTTGGCCCTGGAGGCTTGGAGCTTACCTTTCAAAAAAAAGCTCCGGGCTACTTGGGCTTGGACTTGGTATTGGACACTGGCAGCACGCATGGCTGCAAGCCGTCCCTGACTCTCGGGTTTTGCTTGATGATCATTTTTTGAATCGGGGACAAAAAATCCCAAACGAGAAGGTGACCCGGCGGAGCTTCCGCTTCAGCTTACTGTGAGGGGTCGTGGTAAAAGTCAGGCTCCTCTGGCCACTCCTTCATGGCCTGCTCAAAGTCACTCTGAGTGATCGGAGGGTCATACATGCCCAAGACCATCGTTTCCTGGCTCAGGCTCACGTTGTCCGGGCTCTGGTTTGGCCCCTTGGCCATGGTCGCGGCAGCTTGGCAAGCTTCCCAA